AAGCATACGGGTTTTTCTTACTCAGCATTAGTCTGGGGTTTGCAGCTCTGTTCTCATACCTGTTACACATGTAATCTCTTTACTGAGGAATGCCTGGCATTACACAGGACTAGTTTCTGTTTGACAGAGGTGCTGTTAGAAGAAAGCATAACTACAGTTGGCTGCATCTCCAGAAAGCCAGCAAGATAAATTTCCATATGTGCCTACAAATAGCAAACCTAAGAGGACTAGAAAAAACATCTGTGAGTGAAGAAGGGAGGTTTAGAAATGAAATGTAGCATGTGATAAAGGAAGAACGGGGGAGAATAAAAGCCCACCAGAAAACAGCCTGTCCATCCTCGAAACTTGGATAATAGTGCTGAACACCATGCAGTGCTCTGCCCCACCTCCTCTATGGGGTTGATGGGGAACCACCGCCTTTGCCTCCTCAGGCACCTACTTGCACCCAAGGTCACCCAGGCTCATTTTAGGTGGATCAGCTCCTTATGTCTGAGAGCTGAGCAGTTTTCAGTGCCCTTTCTACAGGAATGATCACATTTCTGAGGAATGGTGAGAAATGAGGTTCTTGTCCTTGCCTACTCTTTGGAACTAGGCATACAGTCATGGTAAAATGGACCTGTGCTTTACAAATACTGTCCTAAACTATTACCTAATAGATATGTGTAAGGGCTGACCTCTCCAGCAATCTCCCTTTTTTGTTCCATAAGGCGAATGGCACCCTTGTCCTTCTCTAGGAAAGATACTTCTCTCTTCACAAAACTGCAAACAGAAGTTTCTTAGATATCAAGACACAGAGGTCACAGGGCCTACACTCAAGGAGGTCATTCCCAAAGATGTCAAAAAAAAAATCTATTTTTTTTTCAAGGAGGAGTTGGAACCCTAGATTTCCCCTTCCCTATGATCCCTAACCTGTGCAGAATTACTTGGGCATTCCTTCCCAGACTATGCTCCCTACTGCATTTTTTCTGGTGGGAAAAAGTACTCTCCACACACCTGCCAGGTGTGGAGGAGAGCAAAGACATTCTTGCCCAGGGCAGCCTCTGATCTGGCAGCTAGGAGGTTTTGCTGGGAAGCAGATGTAGATTTGCACTCTGACAGAAAACAAAATGACCTTATGTAAGTACTCTAACTGTAGTGCACAACATTAAAAAACTCCTGCATTTCCCAAACCTAAACTGTTCCATTACTTTTTTAGACCAGGGAATGCTGCCTGCCCCTCTCACCAGGTGTTATGAGCTGCGGACCTTCAGTTCCCACTACCAAAGGTAGTGAGGTTCGAGATGATGCAGTCATAACATTTCCCTCATCCTAACATCGGTGGCTTCAGAAGGAGCATGTTGTCTTTTCCAGAGCTCATACTGAACCTTGATATACTGAGTGCAAAGAGCTGGCAACTGAAAAAGGTATGATATTTCCTTCAGTTTAATTTTTGAAGAAAAATTCCAGCTTGATACCACCTCTCCCACTGCCACTTCATTTTTGCACAAATGCTGGACACCAGAGCACTTCCTGGGCTCTGTTCTATTTAAGTTTGAAGTGCTTACAGCCTATATCCACAGTGGCATTTGGGCTCCTAACACCTAATAGGACATTTTTGATGCTTGTAAATCTGAGTCTAAGCTCCTTTTGGATTTAATTCTCTGTTCTACAAAGAGATACAATTGGCCATGAGGTATTTCAAGAGCAAAGTGCATGGCATTGAAGTACTGTGCTGCCACAGGCAGCGGTGGCAAGGATCCCTGGAGGGCATAAGGGAGCCTGGGACTGCAGATCTGCCTGACTGCACCAACTGGAAAGGGCTGCTCGAGCTGGAAAGCATAGACAGTCACTCAAAACAGGGTTCAGAGGATGAGAAATGGAGACAGAATCACATAAAGATTTGCTAAAAAGCATTTATACCTACTTAAAATGTGATTCTAGGAAAAAAACATGATACTTTAAAAACGCTTTTTAACTGATTCATGCCTAATCAAACTCTCCAGGACAGAAAATGCAATAAAATAAAATCCTTAATGTCTTTCACTTCCTTCTACAAACTGTTCGTAGCTGTGTGAAAATTTGCATGAACTGTTTATGTGCATGTTTGCAGGAAGGGGCTGCAGCAAGTACGGTGGACAAATAGTGGCAGTATAAACCAGCTTTCTGGACTAGAAAAGTCATTTTAGAAAGAAAGGCTCCTTCTACCTCTCCTTTTGTGCGATGTTAGATCTCAAAATACTAACAGATGTGATCACTGAAGCTAAGAAGAACAGGCAGCTGAAATAAGGGGGGAAAGCAGAAGAATCTTTTTGCTAACAAAGTAGCTGCAGTGCCCCATGAGGGGCAATCCTCTGACCTCCACTCGGACCGTTCCTCTGCACCATGGGGACCAGGGGGATTACAGAGGAACACTATTTCCTAGAAAGAAAGATCATAACATGCGAGGCTGCCCTAGGAAGAGTTACTGCTTTCTGAGGTTGGCCTGAGCCTCCAGCTGCTGGCACTGCTGCGTCCAGAGCCTCAGGGACAATGTCACAAGAGGACATGGGAACAAGGCATGCACATGTACAGGCACTTATTAGATCCTGATGGGATCAGCCCCTTGAGACATCATGTAACCTTCTCCACATACTCCCAAATCTTAATAAACATGAGGAATTTAAAGTTGCATGAGAAAATTTAAAGGGTCAGACTGAGTTATCCATCCCAGTAACCTCTCTCTGCTGGGGCTGACAGCAGTGAACTGGGACAAGAGCAGCAGCAGCAAGGCAAAGGCAGGGTAATCTCTCCTCCTACCCAGCCTGCCAGCAGCTGGCAGTCTGCACTTACATCAGACCCACATAGTTTATCAGTCCTAGAGAAAGAGTTGTAAAAGGCTATCCTAGAAAATAAAAAAACCCTATGAAAATATATGAAGTAAGCTTATCAAAGAGATGTGTTATTGCAAAGCACAAGAACTCTTCCTAGCACACAGATGCATTAAAAAAAAAAAAAAGAAAAAAACAAAACAAAACAACAACAACAAAAAAACAAACCAGCAAAAACCTGCCACTAATACATGAAGCAGAAGCAAGAAAACTTTCTCTTCAGAGACTATCAGTTTTAATATAGTGTCAAAAAGCTGAAAATTTAAGGTGCACCAAAGCGGAAAAATGTTAGGAAGACACTTGGGCAGTCTTAGGAGAGGTAGGAAAGGTATCATATCAGTTAAGTGAAGAGATAGCAAGAATAAAAGGCAATTTCTTATTGGGAGCATTGTGGTAGATAAGTGTTCCTGTGACATGTGTCATTTAAACAAAAGAGCTTTTGGCATTTAAAGAAGAATGCAGGGAGAAGATTCTTCTTATCTTCCCAGGCACAAAGGCTGGATATATAAAAAATGTGCATATTGATCATCCAAACAGAAAATGCCATCTCACTAAGGGCTTATGTACACATGGAGTGCTGTGGAAGCAGCTGCTTCTGATCAGGTCCTCAGCGAGAACACACTGGAAATACTTCTTAGCATTAAAAGAGATAAGCCTTTAAGCTAACAAGTCTGTGCAAAAGCTTATGCCAATCTTTTGCAAAGCAAATATCTTATTATTTAAATACACTTGTATTCTCTTCAGGCATAGTGATTGTGGTCTGTGTTTAGCTGAAAATGGCTTTCTCCTCTTGAATGCAGTCTTCTTGAGCATTAGTGTATGGGAATGATAACCATGTCCCTCAAGGACTGCAATGACATTATAGCTTTGTCAAACATGTATTAGCAAACAGTATGAAATCACTGTGGTCATCTGTATGGCATAAGGGAATCACAATACTTATTAAGTCTTAAATATCAAACACAAGCCTTTTATTAGGACCTTACTTTGTGCCTCCTCCCTCCCCTCTGCTTTCCTCAGCAAGACTGGATGCCCTTTCCTCACAGCACAGCACAGCACCACGGCCTCTCCTCTATGCCAGAACTGAATGCAAGAAGCGCTGTCCCTCTGTGTCATGTAAACTGAACAGCCAGGCTAGTTCTCATTTCCGTGACAGGACACGATGCTGGCTCATGTGCCTGAGGAAAAGATACAGGCCTTCACTCAGATCAATAAAACTCATTCAACTCAGTGAGGTTGAACATACAAGACAGGATTATAGCGTGGGACAAGGGTGTTAGAACCAGACTCCTTATGTGACAGGATCTATGCAAAGAAGAGAAATTGCTCCTTTGAAAGCATTTTAAAGGGAAGAATTTGCAAAAAGGACTGATGAGCCTTGGTTTTGTTCACAAACTAGATCCAAAATGCTGATGTAGAATGTCTGAAAAAAGGCTAGGTTTGTTGGGAAAGTTACTGCATCCCACCTCGTTCACACTCATCCTAACACTTAGAGCAACTAATAAGCACCTTGTTTTTTCTAGACTGTCTCATGCTCTCCTTGTATGTCAAATGCTCCAAGTCCTCAGTCATCTTCATGGTCCAGAACTGAACACAGTAGTCCAGATGTGGCCTCACCAGTGCTGAGCAGAGGGAAGAGTCATCACCCTTGACCTGCTGGCACCATTCCACCACTGTAGCCCAAGAGGCTGTTGGCTTTCCTCTCCTTTCTATCTGCAGAAGCCTGGCTTCTGGTACTTTAGTGAAGAAAAATTGTGGTAGTAATGTATCATACCTTTCAAACATTCAGCAGGTGACATCATCACATTCAGTAGAAAAGTAGGAAAAGAGAAAAAGAAAATCAGTAAAATGCACAACAAATTTATTTTATTCAAATACCAGGCTGTACTTGCCAGTGAAACAAACAGGGCTGTTTTGAGCTGCTAGAAGAGAAATACAGATTTTTGTGAAAAAATGCTTAAAATTTATTTAAAATATCCAAAAGTGATGTGTCAGCCACTTACAAGTTCTGTACACACCTGCAAACCGTATTAACTAGTGATATGCATAGAATTAGAGTACTCTGAGTGATACTTTTAATACTTAAATGTTCATCCTCATTAAAATCAGTTACAATTTGTCTTGAATAAATTAATGTGAGACTGTTAAGAAATCCTAAATCAATTTGCATTACGGCAAATTAATCATTCAGTAGCATTTTAGTAGACAAGTCTGAAGACACTACAAAGAAAAAGTCTTTTCAAGCAGACAAGAAAGTATTTTAAGGCATTTTTGTGAGCTTTTGCTTTTTAACTCCTCAGTAGGACTAAAAATAGGTATGCCTAGGCTTTGTGAAAATGTTCTCTTTTTCCACCCTGCTGTCTGGGATTTCTGGATAGGTCACTCTGATCAAGTTGCTGTTGAGTCTGGAAACTGCTGGCACATCAACTCTGTGCTTACACATCAGTTCTCGATAGTTTTCCCTGGAAGTCAAATCACTTCCAGAGGGTTATGCACCTCTCCTAGGTCTAACACTTTTGGATACACAGCACTCACTATGCATGAGCTGCATACAAGGACTAGGTTCAGTACCACCCAAAGATGTTAAGCACATCCTACCTGCGCAGCTCGTGTGCTTGCCCAAATCAATCCCCGACAGGAATGTGGCAGGTCTAATATCAGCATCGATTACATGCTCCCTGCTAAGCCCACTGAGATACTCATTCATGTAAGCAGAGGGTCTCTCTGTCCCTGCTCAGCACTCACAGGTTAGGGGGGCAGGACACAAAGGGAGGTCCCTCCATCTGGGCCAAGGAGGTCCTGTATCCTTTCAGATATCATGCAACCATTTTGCTCTCATTTTCATTTTCAGATGTATAAAGTAAAATGAAATTCTTCAAAACAAACACTTGTTTAATTTAAAAAAGAAGAGGTTGTGATGCCCTTCCTGTACCTTTTCTCCAGTGGGGTGACGTTGGCCATTCATGGGTGTTGCAGAGAGGCATCTGGGGCTGCCTCTTCCCCCAACCCCTGTGTGGGAATATGAGGTACCACAAGGTGTAGGTGAAGTTCTTCAGCATTGCTTTTCTCAGACTTCTTAAGGAGGGTAGCATGTGCCTTTATCTCAGTTTGTAGAGTCGGCACGAACACTAACCTTTCAGCTCCAGCTTCTGTCCATCCTTCCTGGCTGCATTTTCAGAACATTGCTGAATATAGTAGTTCTAGTGTGATTCTAAATATTAGCTGTGCAAGGGGTTATAGAGATGGCAATGCTATCTAAGTTGGGCGTTCCTGGGCCTTCTGAGTAGCACTTCCCACTGAGAGGAGTGGTATTGCTTTCCAGGAAAAATTAAATGTTTTGCAACAGTATTACTTGTACATTGTTCATCATCCGAAAGAGTGGCAGAATCTGGTAATTTCCAGTTTTGAGCCTTAACCTGAAGCATGTAAGATTGGCCAAAGAAATTGGCCAATTGTTCACCTAAGACATCCCTTCCCTTTCTACCTTTCCCTTCTCAAAAAAACCTAAGGAAACAACCATGCAGCTGTTTCAGTAAGGGATGTTCCTTTTGCTTATACCCTACAGTGATTCAGGAAATAACTGGAATTTCAGGTGCAATGAGAATGAAGAATTGGACTTGGCATTATTATCTGAATTCATTAATAAATATGTACAGAAGAACTCTGTCCCTTCAAAGGATTATGAGACATTAGCTGGTTTGACTTCTTCAGGACAACTAAGCAGTTTATTTTCATGGGGGATTATTACAGCTAAATTACAGCCACATTGCTCTTCATGAGACAAGAAAGACACTTTCATGAGTAGCTTTTTCTTACAGTTGTGGTCAATCTTAATGTGTGAAGGACAGAGCTTCCTACTTGTTTCCAGTTAATTTCAGAATTATTTTGCTTCAGATGTTTCTGAAAACAAACAAAACAAAATGACAAGGTGAAATGAGAAATTTACTTTTGGATCTAAAAATTGCACAGAGAGTACAGGTGAATGAGCTCTCAAGTCAAATTAATGGCTACAAGTTAGGGCTTGTCTGTGCTGTAAAATGGTTTGTCAGTATCATTACACCAGCAATCCCAAGACTATAGCAAAAAATAAAGCTAATATATGACTCCAACACAGCTATGCCAGCAACTTTGCCTAAATAAGTGAAACTCATACCAGTAAATTTTTCTTTTAGCTTATGCAGTTTAGGGAAATATTTTACCTACATGGGGCCAAAGAACTTATCTAGTCAGTATAAACTGTGACTCCAGCAAAAACTTTTCCTAGTGTTTCTCCAGTATGATTACAACCATGGTGCCTGTGTCATGTTGCTGGTCTGGCAGACATGGGAGAAGAGATACCTCCCTTTTGGAGAGCGGCTTCCAAGAGGTATGCCCTGGGGCTGATGTAACAGAGGTGTAGGCCTGGAGGGAAGTTAATTAATAATTTAATTAATATTTAATGGCAATACGCCAGTGTACTAAGACTTCACTAGTGGGCTCTGTTCTCAGCTCTGTCACACTATAAAAACGTTTGAATCTGCTGTCTGGGGGAACAGCAGTGCTTGTGCGTGTAGGAAGAACATCTAGAACATCTAAATAATCGTGGTAGTCTCCCCTGCCCTTAGAGTCTCTGAACCCACAACTGCTTTGAGACAAACTGTTTGAAGTCCTGCTTGTATCAAAGCTAAGAACTGATCTGCAGCTCTAAGAGTAGCACACCCTTTATTTGCTCCCTCTTGATTCTTTCTTCCTTCTGGAATCACCATTGGTTGCAACGTAGAAAAAAGCTCCACTTCACATATTAGGGGAAAGTGGCAGTTGAAAAATTACCTAACAATGAAAATGAGCAAAGTAGATGATGCCCCCAAATCTGCACTGAAAGTTACTCAGGAGGGAGACTTTCAAAAGTGCTGAGAACACACAACTACATTCATGGATTTGGGTTCCTCACTCCAACATCCCCAAGGCTACAAAGTTTGCCTCAGCCTTTCAGCCAGAGGCTTTTCTAAGACAGAATCAGCTAACTTAGAGGGTCAGTGGTACAAAAGCTCCAGAGAAATGTCTTAGAAAAACAGTACAAAAGGACTAATGAAGACGTGGCGGGGTCAGAAAGGCTGGTTTTCATTTGTAGTACTGGCTCTACATTTCAATTATGAAGGAACCTGAATCTCAGCACAACCAAGGTAAAAAAAAAAAAAAAGTTGCTCCTCAATCTGTTTCATACAATTACTTTAAAAATTTGGTACAAATTGAAAATACAAAAATCTACTTTGCCTAAACAAAACCTCCTCAGCTGTTCAGTTCATGACAGGAAAACACAGCTGTGTATTTTTTTAATTCCCTACTGCATTACTCTATCTTTTCTACTCTTTCTTTTTTTTGTCTCCTATTTAATAAGCACAGAAGGTTAGTCAGCTGAGACCATTCGTTTTCCGGCACTTATGTGCAGTTCGAGTCCAGAAAGCAATGTCCTGAAACAGTCTGACACTAGTACTCATTTTCAGCTCTCCAGGCAGCTGGACCATGTTGTTTTGATCCTTTTTCAGCCATGAGATTACAAGGAGCTATCAGGACTGGAGACAGAAGCTGCCTTCTCTGGTTTTGCTGCTATTCTTTTGTTGTTACTGCTGTTCCTGCATGTATGCCTCTCATTTTTGTCTGCAGGGACATAGGAGGAGACATTACAGCAGCACCATTGGTATTCCAATCCAATGCAATGAACCTTTTCTCTTCCAATTTTCTCACACCCAAGAAAAGCCACTGTTGACATCTTTAATACCACCTAAAAGACTGTCAAACTGAAGGCTTTCCTCCTTAAAAAAGCAAAAACAACTCATGGCAGTAAAAGAAGAGAAACTTGTCTTGTTAAAAGGAAAGCCACACATTTTAAATGCTTCCAGGGTGGTGTGTTTTTTTCTTAATTTCTCTTGAATCTTTAATGAAAGGTTAAATAAAATATGTTAATGATGGTTGTTGCTATAGCAAGCTCAGGCATCTCTAGTGAAGTCCCTTGCTTAATTGCTTATTGTTCTGGAGTGATGAGGTCATATGAACATCTTTGACCCACTGGGCACATTTTTTCTATCAAAATTAACATAGTAATGACCTGAGGCAAGTCTCTGCTCTTTCTTTCTCACTGTTGCTTAGGATGAGGACTAGCTCTTAGTAGTATCATCCTGGCATGCTTCAGCCCTGACTGTGGAAAGATTTTGAGGGTGACACTGGTGAAGCACTGCAAATAATAAATACTGGGTTTTTTTAAGTAGACCTACTGTTGAGGTTTACTTCTTTATTTCATTAAAACTATTTTCCCCCTAATGATTCTATTTAAAAGTAATTTAGATCAATAGATTTAATTTTGATAGATCATACATACCAAATAATTAAAAGTGGACATTAAAAAATAGCATAAATATCCTGAGGAAAGAAGGGACTATGGGTAGGAAATAGTTGACTGATGAATTCTTGAAGAACTAACATGCTCAGATATTAAGTATTGGCACAGGTGAAAGAGACAACATATTTTTGTGCATTATTTCTCTACGTATAAGCCTAAAAGAGCTAGTTTGGTTACTTTATCTGGCTAGATATTTTATAAGACTTCCGCCCACATTAAAGGTTAATTGTATATGCCCACATCAAATCTGTATTTCTCTCAATGCTCACATGTGAGGAAGTTTAATAGAAATTTTAAGTGCTAGAAAAAAGCCATAATGGAGGATTTCTGATGGCTGGGGGAGACCAGCAGCTGGAGGAGCCACATGCTCCTTAGCTAATAATTTCAGAGTGTGGATACTTGTATGAGCCATCAAGGATGATAATTTATGAGACTGCTTTATAATCCAGACAATGATCTCCCTCAAGGTGGCAAAGGTCCTTTCTTTCATGTTTTGCTAGAGCCCCACTAGAAGACAACTAATAAAGTGAAACCTTACCTCCACTGATAGGGAGTTTAAAGTGGTAGGTGGATAAAGACTTAAAGGAGCTGATGCCATAACAGTAAGTACTATAATCAGATGCTGATCCTCTACCTGGCCTGTTTCTTGAGAGCATGCTTTTCCTTTAATGCCTATAGCTGCAAGGGGTATTTTAGACAAAAGAAAATTTAATTCTCTCTTTCTCAGCTTCTTTACATGATAGAGCAAGACCCCACCCTCAGTGGTATGTGGACTGAGGAAATAATGTGTTATGTGAAACATACTACTTTGTTTCATTTTTCAGTCTTTTCTGTAACTTTGGACTTTCTGCAGCTGTGAGCAGGGGAATAGATGGTCTCACGTATACCACACACTGCCCTGAATGTCATGTTTCTGAGGGGTTTGAGCATTTCAGAAAAAAAATAACAGCTTATTTCAGATTCATGATATTGCTTAACTCAAATACAAATTAACATTGCATGCCAGTTAAAAATAAATAGAAATTACATTTTGAAATAAAATACTGCTTTATAAACAATTTTTTTTTTAAATCTCTGAAACAAAAAATTTCAAGTTTCTCTGTGTTTTCATGGGTTTCTCTTCACAAAAGAAGCCATTCAGCTGAATCAAGTGAAGTTCATACAAGGTTTAGATGTGAGTGAAAAGAGCTGGGATCACATAGTTTCACTCATACCTAGAAAAAGTCTCATCTCTGTTTAGCTGGAAATGATGCCTAGAGATCTTTAGAAGCAAAGACTCTCCTCATTAGCATCTAAAGCCTCTGCAGATTGATGGAGCAGAACCTTGTGGTTTAAATGAAAACACAGATTATTCCTGAAAGTTTTTAAAGTGACTAAACTTAGTCACAAGGCATCCATTTCCAAAAAGAGGAAAAGGATTGAATTCAGAGTATTATAATTTGTTACAGCAAACTGGCACAAATCAGAAGAAATGCCTGTGCACTTCTATCCCCAGAACAATGATAGGTACCGCTTTAACAAAGGTGACACGGCTAAGAGTGACAGGGGGTCACAGGCGGCAGCTCAGAGGTGCCTTTCCTGCCATATTCACAGGACGTTTGGGGTAACAGCAGCAGCCCCAAGGGAAAAACTTCTCTTGTTTCAGGGAGTGAAGATTACTGTCCAGTCTGAAAAATCACTCTGCCTGCTCTTGTTTGCATAAGTGACCATAGGTTATGCTCACCTTCTTCCTTCAGAGATTGTGGGCTTATTTCCAATGCTGCTGTCATGAAATGCTTTTCTTATGTTTTCAATTATGTTTTCATCCACGTAGCTGTAGTCATGCTCTTCTTCCTCTTCTTTTTCTGCCTCATAGTTACTTGTTAAGCCTGAAAAATTAACAAAAAATAACTGTAGGAAATGGAAGACTCTGCCCTTGGCCTGAAAAAAAAAAAAAGTACAATTCAAACAGGCAATCATAAAAGCAAAGAAAACAATGTTTCATTTTTCGCATAGTACTAATACCTCTAATTTGACCACTCCCTGCTACCTATGCACATATAACTAAGGTTTATTGAAATGTTTAAATGATATAATCACTAACAGCATAAAAGCAGACGGATAAAATTATCTGACCATAGTAAGAGAAGAGTAGTCCACTTGCCATGAGCCACACATACCATCCTTACCGCAGATGTGCTCCCATGCTCCTGTGTTTCATTGCCTGACAAAACGAGCCACTGCAGCTAGGAAACCATGGTGCTACCTCGGGATTTCCTAGAGCCAGAAAACCCACTTGCTGCTTATTCTGAAGGGAATAACAGAGACATAGTCTTGAAAGTGGCTTGAGGTTAAAATGAAAAGTGTTGAAGTACATTTCTTTATGTCCACCTAAACTAGCTTGAAGTAACACTGAGGACAAATCTTTCAGAAAGCAGCAGCCTTTTTCCAAAAGGGCAGAGACCCTCACTGGAGGCCTCTTGGGAGTTCAAGGGCTGGGGCAGCCCCTGCTTTTTATCTGGGCACAGCAACAGTTTCACATTACAGCTCACACTGATGAGCTACAGACTGCTGTCAGGAGGCCCCAGTCTCCTCCCATGCTTGGGTGGTGCTACCACTTTCCTGAAGCTAGAGGAAGCTCTACAAGACACATGGGACCACTGGTCTCCTGCAGAACCCCATAAGGATCAGTCAGTGAGTGCCCCATATCCCTCCTCTAGAGCCACCCCATCCCTCAGCTCAGGCTGTGCTGGGGAAAAGCCAGGTAGCAATAAGACCAGCCAGGGCTGAAGTAGTGGCAGTGGGACCAGATGGAGCTGAGGTGGTGGTGGAGGCATCACCAAAGTCTCCCTGCCAAGAGCAGCTCACCCTTGAAGTTTATCAGGAAGACTATAATTTAATAGAGCTGAGAGGATACTGTATTTCTACAGCAAAAAGTTTCACCTGAAATTGCAAAACCGTGTGAAACACCACTTTGGGTACAGCTGTTTCTGGTTGTTTAACTTGCTACGACACAACCTGAAACAACCTACAGTAGTGCACTAACTGACCTCCCAGCAAGGCTGTGCCTGTCAAACATGTCCTTCTTTATGGGACCAAGCTTCTCAAACACGAATCCTGCCAAGTTTACTCTTGCAACCACCGTATACCCCTTCACCAAGACAATTGTATAATCTCTCAGCAGTCTCCAAATCCCATTGTGTTCCTCCTGAGACTCTCCATGGCTGGCGTGTCTCTCCCTGAAAAACTGGTTAGTAATAATTTCTTTCTGAAGTTGCGATCCTTTCCTTTATAGGTTTTTTTCAAGGCTAGAAATAAACACCAAATTAATCAAGCAGCTGTCTGGCCACACCAGTACACAGTCTATCACAGACCAATTTATCCACAAGTCCCCTGCTACTAAATTAGCAAAATATTTCCAGATCTAGGCATCAAAAGGAAAAAACCAAAACAAAATCCCAAACATATGATTACAAATGTATTGAAGATCTCATTCACGCATATGGCCACTATCTTGTTAATAAGCATTTCCAGGTTTGTAGTTCATTTGCAATTTGGCTATGTTTGATATCAGTAAAAGTAAACTAATGAATAAAACAGGCACTGAAAGAATAAGCTAATCCCTGTGATTCAGCAAGGGAAATATTGTTTGTGCACTTAGACTTGCTAATACGGATATAAGGTACAGATTGCTCATGGGTGGCATAGCTAGACTTTCTTCTTTCCCAAACATGTGCAAACAAAATTATACGGTTCTAAGTAAGACAGCTCAAGGAGAAAGAAAATTAATGTCATCAGGCCAGACTAAATCACAGCTGTCCCCAGTACCAAACTTGTGCAGGATGCCTTCTCAAATGTATATATTTACACTTCAATAAAGCATTAAGCAATGAATAGACAAGCTGAACAATCCCAAGGGGATTCTGAATATTGAAATCAATGCAATTTACTTCCCTGTTTGGAAAAAAAAAATCTATTACCCTCAACACTGAATTACCTAATCAGATAGGTCATGTCAGCCTGCCAAGAAAACAAGGCTTATGTCATCATGCTGTCTATCCATTCGTCAATCTCTTTGGTACTTTTACAAGTTTATTTCTGCCAATTTCAGTCAGATTTGAAAAGGGGGCAGAAGTCTTACCGTGGTTACAAAAGCAAGATTTGAATTAGTTCCTCCACTGAAAGAGAAAGACGCAGAACACAGCTCTTATACACTCCGTTTGGCGGCAGACAGCAGGATAAGTCAGCGTGTGCATATTGGTTGGCCATTCAACACACACATAGCTCCAGACCTGCTCTTTTTCATTTGATAGGAGCACCATAAAGAGAGTTTTGGTTATTATCAGGAAAGGCAGAGAGGAGCAGTAGGGGACAACAGACCTGAATACTTATTAAACCAAATTTAATTAATTCTGCTCTTCCTGGAACAATTTGTATAATTACGTTTGCCTTTACAGTGGAAGGGTAGTGCTCTGCAGACTAAAATTTTCCATTTATCTCACTTGTATCTTCAAGTGAATAGGATTTGAGTTTGGTTTTTTTTTTCTCAGAATATACTTGCTGTTTTTCACAAATTTCAGGATCAGAAATGGTTGTCATAACTCTCCATTTTGGCCTTATTCAAAATGTAGGCAACAGAAGCAACCCAACCCATCAAAACCCTTGGTTGGATGAAACAAGTGCTAGAGGCCTCAACTCATGTACATACAAGTCTGGCTGCACACCTAAATGCCTTTGGCTGTGTGACCATAATACATTTTTATAGCTATGGTAAATATTTCAGATCAGTATTTACAGTGCATAAATTAACATTCAACCACATAGCATTTATTGTTTATTTATGCCTAACTTGAAAAAAGTAATTGTGAAATATTCTGCATAATGATATTATGAATTCAACATGGTAGAACCACATCTTTATTTCTGCGCATCACATAAGTGAAAATGCACAGAACTGAAGGTATATGCATAAACCAAAGTGTTTTTATGAACAGTAGCATTTTATTTGCTGTGAGCCTGGTTCTAATGCTCCTCAGTGCTAATGAGAACTAATTCCTTAGGGACTGCTACTGAAAGTCGTTCAGTGACAGCAGAATCTGAGCCCATAAAACTAATGGATTGTTCCTTGAGCTGATATCCATCAACTGTTGCTTCATGTGATGATGTAGTGTATCGTTAAAAACTGTTAAGTGCTACAGTCCAAATATTTCATATAAACTGTAGAGCTGCAATTCATGTACGGGTAATGTTTATCTCCCTCTGGAATCTACTAACCTATTGTTTGGAAAAGTTTAATCTTAAATTTAATTTCTTAAAAAAATCTTAAGTTTCCTGAGAGACACAACTGTTCACCTCTTTCACTGTCCTTTAATTTTTTTTCTTTCTCAGTTTTTTTTTCTAGTCTATCTTGATGGTTTTATTGAACTTTTTGAGATCTAATTTCCACTGTTGTGCCACTGCCTTGTATGAAATAAATCTCCAGTGTATCAACAGCTCTTGCAGATCAGAAATGGTTGCCATAAGTTTTAAACAATCACATATTTCTTGCCTCATCACACGTTCCTGCAAGAGGATAAGGGAAAAGGCCCAGGGCACCATGAACCACACTTTCCCAGGCTCTGAAGTGCTGCTCGTCATGAGGCTGGAGGAGCAGAACTTGCCAGAGAGTGGGAGAGAGGACTGACATGATGTACCCTTTAGTTACACCTACATATAACACTGCGATACCCCCTCTTTGCAACCATATCCATGAGCTCCTGCCTGGAACCTCTGCATATTACTGCAATTAAAACCAGTCATATCTAATAAATCAGTAAAATGTGGAAGCCTATGCTTTCTTGCCCCTGCTGTACAGCAACTTAGAGTTTGGTTAAGGGCAAAGCTGACTGAAAATGTTTAAATATAATTTACTAAAATGTACTCACCATCCTATGAAATTAGATGATCTCCGTATTTTAAGCAATTTTCTTGCCTTTTTTTATACTGAGCTCAGAAGATGTGGCAGCCAAGAATAAGTTTTGTGTTTACAGCCCAAAACCCAAGAGTCTTTTTTTTTTTTTTTAAGATGGTTACAAGACCAGAGGAGCCAAAGAATCTAATAACAGGTTTGCTCTAATCAAAGCCTGAGCTGAGTGTGGAAGCTGGAGAGAGTTGTCACACATGCATAGAGTAAAGGATTCCTAATTCATATTGCTTATCCCCTGCACCCAATTCAGAACATTAATGCAAAATCTCTGTGATGACATCAAAAAGAAAGAGCAACTTATTTTCAAAATAATTTAGAATTCTATGTTTTGCTTTTTAAGTTTTTGGGTTTGCTATGTTTAATTCATTTTAATACTGGTTTTAGAGTGCAGTGACATAGCCTCATGTATTGTCTTAACTAATGGGACAGCAAGTTACAGCACAGGGATAAAATTTCTTAAACCATCTTTGCTGCCAAATTTATTAGACATTATATGTGTATCCTAAAGTACAATCAGAAGGCCCATTTCTCTTTTTCTTTCTCAAGGCCACTAGCCTCCTAAATTAAGTGCCTAAAGACAGTATAAATAAATACCTTCCCTAAAATATCCTAACATCAATAAATAAAATCAACATAAATACTGTTTTACTGCAGACTGTAACAATTCCAGAAACTAAGCCATGAGCAAGAAGATTATGCAATGTTTCAGAAACTCCACATAGAATAACTTTCAAGGTTAAAGAGAAGCTGATGCAGCAGATTTCTGTTGAGAGTTATCCTGCAGATATTGCTACTATTTCTAATGGATTTAAACTCAGTCAAATATTAAAAAATAATATTTTTAGTGGCCTATTGAGATTTAATTGCAACAGAGGAAAAAGGTTCAACCTTTCCTACCTTTATTAACATGAACTCCGCTAGGAAAGACAATAGAGGCTTTAAAACTGAAAGAAAAACATGTTGCTTTTCCTTTCAGAACTATCTGGCCTTTGGTAAGAAAAACTAATTGTCTCTGTAACTAGTTTTTTTTTTTGAGAGTACATATTCAATATCCTTATTAGGAATTTGAAATAGGTTGGTGCTTTGGAGGGTGGCTTAACATTCATCAGTAGAAGTTTAAAGATTAGTCAGTGAATGGTGCATTTCCTCCCACTCAAAACCCACAGGAGTGAGTCTGTGTTATTAGTCTTGACATATTTTCTAAATCCATTATCTTGTGAATTAGCAGAGCATACTCTCTGGAACAGGCGAGCTTGCTGCATGCAACAATGGACTCATGGGGATCCCTTGGCTGGCCAGGAAGAACTGTTTTATCATCTAATCCAATCTCCTGTATAATTCTACAGTCCTATTTGAATAAAGCCAAATAATTTTGGGCTATACGAACATACATTTTTCAGAAAAACCTTTAGCTTTAATTTGGGTATGTCAGTGTACAATCCATCACTGTTCTTTGGACAAGGTTCAATCTGCCCTGCTCAAATACACACTATGCTCCAATTCAGACAGAGTTTGTAAAGGGATATATTCCAAGGCAATTTCCTAGTATTTTCCTAGTCTTGCAAAAAAAGAATCATTATGATACTACTTCTTGATTTTCTATGTGTGTACTGAACTGAAGTACCAGGAGTTTGTTTGAAACCTTCAGTAACAAAGGTTATTCTTTATCTAGTGTTCCGTGAGTAGTCTAAGAAAATACAGTATATAGGATGAACTTCAAATTATCTAATGGCCACTTTCATGATAAGGGAGGCAGGAGACGTGACTGATGAGCTTTTGAATCAGATACATGGCAAAGAACTGTGCTAGCAGGCAAAAGTTAAGTGCTGTGAATCTTTGCAGTAGCAGAGGCCCACAAACATTTAGCGGTTCTAACATCACTTTTCTCTAATACTCTTGGTCATACACACAAAGCTACCTTCAAAGCACAGGTCTCTAGTCATAAACTCAGGGAAATGAATAGATAGGAAAAAAATGAGCCTGACTGATACTTTAAGTTTTTAAAAAAATATGTCTACTGGACACAGGAACAGTTAAGTCAGAAATCTACCATGACAGTTGATATGTGAATCTCAACCAGCAGAAAGTAAACTCTGCTTTCTCAGAAGGGATGTTACAACAAACATTAGGATCTTGATGGAATGAGGAGCAAAGGAAATAGAGCAAGAATAGCTAAGAGAAGATATTTCCAAACTTTAAAAAGCCTCTAGAAAAGGCTTTCTTCTCAATCAGATTGTTTCAGAATTAAAAACAAATGGAGAATTGGCTGGGACAAATAGACTTTTGCTAGAAAGTGAAAAATTACAATAAAAATCAAGTGCTGTTCAAGAGTCTGAAAAAGGTTTATCAAGGACATATAAATAAGGCTTAATGGGGTGGACAAAAGACTATATGCTAGTGCCTCTGAGTGAATATAGAGAGAGGTGGCAGACAGACTTCGAGCAGGGCAGCTCAGACAGTCAGCAATATTGTTTTGTTTCAACATAGTGCTGAAACATGTTCAGTAGAAGGTCCAAATAATGAACTGTTGCAGAAAATCCAAGTCTGTTTTCTAGTGTCCAGAACCACTAACTGCATTAGCTGACAAGCAACATGAAGGAGAAGGAAGAAACTTTGCTGGTAGCATGGCTGACAGAGGCAGCCCTCTTTCTAGGGCAGGTAAGAGACATAGGAAGTGACTGAACGACTCCACTTCTCACTGCATGAACCAAGCAGCTGTGTTTAGAAAAATATTTGAAGAATCTTGACTGTAAAGCCATTTTGAAACTTTAGCCTGTGTGACTTTCCATGTCTGTGAGGAGTCTAGACCTATGAAGTAAAGCACCTACACAAGCATTAACTTCTGTGTCCTCAGCATAAGCTTTATGTCTGGCTTACTTCAGTAAGGAAGCTTTGGTCATGTTTTCTTCAGGTGTGTTCCCTCTGCTTCCCATGCCTGCCTCACCCCACAGAGATTAACCCATGCACGTGATCCAACTGATCCCTGTAGCATGGACAGCGGTTTTCAAACTCAAGCCTCAGTGATTTGCAGGTAGTCCCCCTGACAAAAATCAGTACCACATTAACCCATGTTGGTACTCTTTTTTTTTTTTTTTTTTTGGTGAGGTTTAAACAGAGATACTGTCCTTTGTAGCTACCAATATATAAGCTTCACCATTTACCCCTACAAAATCTAATCAATTCATTAAACATTGACAAAATGAAGCCTGAAGGGAGATTGTTCAAAGTCACAAAATAACATATGTGGAATTGTATTTCAAAGCAGCCAGATATTAAAATACCTTTCTGTGCTGGTTTTGGCTGGGGTAGAATTAATTGTCTTCATAGTGGCCTCTATGGGGCTATGTTTTGGATTTGTGCTGAACACAGGGTTGATAATATAGAGATGTTTTTGCTATTGCTGAGCAGTGCTTACACAGAGCCAAGGCCTCTTCTGCTTCTATAATGCCACACTGGCAAGGGAAGTTGGGAGCGCATGGCAAACTGGGAGGAGACACAGTCAGGATAGGTGATTCAAACTGACCAAAGTCTGAAGTTCCATACCATCTGATATCATACTAAGCATATAAAGTGGGAGGAAGAAGGAAGAATGGTGAGACATTTGGAGTGATGGTGTTTGTTTTCCCAAGTAAAGGTTATGCGTGATGGGGCTCTGCTCTCCTGGAGATGGCTGAACACCTGCCTGATGATTATTTGGTTTTCTTTGTTTGTGTATGTTGCTTTTGCTTTCCCTATTAAACTGTCTTAACCTCAACCCATGAGTTTTCTAGCTTTTACCCTTCCAATTTTGTTCCCGATCCCACTGGGGGGAGTGAGCGGGTGGCTGCTTGGTTGCCAGCTGGCGTGAAACCATGGCGCTTTCAAAAATCAGTCCTCAAATAATCAACTTCCACAGCAATAAGGATTAATGAATATTCAGCATGACACTGTAATTCTTCTCTATAAAAATTATATTGCTTTTAGAAGTTTCAATATACATAGTTTCAAATAGACAATCCTTTTTAAGAGTCTGACACACTGAATGACAAGAAAATAAAGAGAAATCTTATGGGAGGTTCTTATATCAATATCAATTATCAGTTAACAAATGCTGTGAGGATTAGTATTTGTGCTTTAGTCTTCCAAATGTTCCAGTGTTGTAATTAATGTGATATGATTGTATTTCAGATATAACCTGTGACTGACAGAGTAATGAAATATTTTTTTCTATTAACTGCAAAGTTATTATATCTATATAATAAATATAATTTGGATTTGTCCTCTTGTCATCTTGCTTCTCAACTTCAGTACGGTTCCTTTCTGCAAAAGGAAAAACTTGAAAGATAAGTAGAAAAATTAACTATCTATCAAAAAATATGGGAAATGCAAACAAATGGTGACTTTAAAACCCATTATCAGTCAAGCAATTTGCTCAATATTATTTTTTCTTCAAAATACAAAAATGTGAGTTGAAGACATCCTCATATCTTTATGCAAAATGTTGTTCATCTTAAAACCTTTTGGGATAGGTATTCTTTTCTAACAGATTATGTGTAAGCATCACCCTAAAGCTAAAGGAAAGCACATCTTTTCCAAACGTCTGTTCCTCAAACCCACTGAATATTCATGCTGGAGTGTCAAACAGAGTTTAATACCATGCTGCTGTTGAGAGCTTGGATGAATTTGCCTTATGGCATTTATGGAGGAAGAACAGAAATGTTCACTTTTCATCCCTTTTGACTAAGCCACAGATTCCAAGTGAAATAACACAAGATACTCCTGTATGTCAATCTTTCATCAGGGCTGGGGTTAAGCTTTGTTATATTAATAGTTCAAACCATAAGGTTTAACTGACCTTTAATCATAGTAGGTTCCACTAGTGGAGCTTTCCCAGTCTTGTCCTTATTCTCACAATGCACCAAATCATTTTGACAACTAACTTGCAATTCCGAAACATCAGCAGCTTGACTTGAGCACAATTTCTTCATGGTATCTACACAAAATTTCTGAAACAGAAGAGTACATTAACTTTACATGTAAATTGTTATTCCTAACTGATGCGTTCAGAGATGTGACATGTAAGCGCAACATCCTTTGAGTTGCTTCTGTGAGTTTTAACCACAGATCTGTTTGTCAAAGTCGTGGATCACATTTACCACAATGCTTGTCTTTGAGGCATGTACATCACAAAATAACATGACCAGAAGGCACTCTAGGTGAAGAAATTACCTCTAAAACTTATATTCAGTCTTTCTTTTTTTTGTTGTGTTTTGGGTTTTTTTTGGCTATATGGAGTCACACAAACAACAGGAGGTTTATCTATCCTTTTGGCTGACACAGATTACTTTCTGATTAACTATTTTTATTGTATCAATTGTTCATTTAATGTGTTCTGTTAGATATTACATCACAAATTCATATAAAGTCTGACATTTCAATTCCATTTACCCAGTAGCATTCATAGCATAGTAAGTATAGATGGATGATGGGAACAGACAATTATGGAGTAATTAATTATAGTTTTACTACATTGCAGAAAATAAGTTATATGGTTGCAATATTTGCATCCCTTGAAATTCAGGTTTGATACGTACATTTCCATAATTCCGTTGTTTGTTTTATTTTTAATTCAGAGTTATTTATGTCATAAATACTTTCAGTCAAATACCTATTTTTTGCTGTGTAAATAACAGTCAATTAAAGTGTCAAAAGGTGTATCTTTGGTGAAGTGGCAGTATAGGTACAAACCAATTGCGATCATTATACCAGAGAGTATATATTTTAAGAAATAATCAGTATATACTTTCCATTCAAAATCAAATGTAGATTTTTCCTCAGCAATGACAAAGCCCATCCTATTCAGAGAGATAAGGTCATGTTGGTAAAATTGACAGTAGCCATACAGTAATAGTATCTGATCTTTTCAGAATCAACCCACAATTTGTGAAGGCACAACACAAGCCCACATTTTATGACAATCTGCCCTTTCTGAAAAAAAGATATTATCTAGCAACAAGAAAGTCACAGGTAATTGAAATAGAAAATTTGATAGAGTATATTAAGAAGACCAGACGAGGATGAAACGTGTAACACATAGGGATGATTTTCCTCAGTGGGTGGGTCACGATATTGCGTAAGTGGAAGACCCTCATTTTTCAGTTAGAGGAATCTATGGTACTTTTCTCTATTTTCTAAAAGCAATACTGCCAGCTGAATCTGCAGGGGGCAGTTGAGTTACAGTATTCAATGCATGTTTGTGCACTACAGGCTCTACAACGCTTGACAGTGCTCTCCTTGATTGCAAAACTGCCACTGAGGCCAAGCAAAGCTTTAAGCAGTGATGTAATAATTAAAAAAAACCTCAAGGACTTGTACAAAAATAAATTCAGCTAAGCAATATTTTGCAAAGAGGACAGAAACATCAGAATAAGTTCTTCACAGCAGAGAATTAACCCAATGGAAATGGCACTGTTCAAACTGGGATCATGCTCGGCTGGTGCGTTATGGAATAGCTTCACTGAGGCTACAGGATCTTTAACTTTCTTTCACCAGCATGGCATGACCTTTCTTTCATCTCCAGTTCTTTTCTTGATCATCTGCACCTAAACATGCCTGTATGCACCACCTGTTTGTTGTCGGACTGTCCCAATAAAACAAATCCCAGAATCATAGAATATGCTGTGTTGGAAGGAAACTACAAGAATCATTGAGTCCAACTCATAGGACCATCCCCAGGAATCATACCATGTGCCTGAGAGCATTGTCCAAACACTTCTCAAGCTCTGTCAGGTTTGGTGCTGTGGCGACTTCCCTGAGGAGCCTGTTCCAGTGCCCAAACACTCTCTGGGTGAAGAACCTTTTTCTGATATCCAACCTAAACCTTCCCTAACACACACACTTTACAGATAGTTATTGAGAAATGTCCACCTTCTGCTTGGGGAAAATAAATGCTTGAATAACCATGTTTCAGAGCTGCCACTAAACTAGTCCCATCCTTTGTATCAGTCATACTTGTTTATCACAAATGAAAGGTCTTGGGCAGAGTAGGGTAACTTTATTATTTACAGGCCGATTATTTCTATGTTCAAGTTATTTGGCATACTTAACACACAGAAAACTTTCACTTAGTAATCAGCTTTCAGGTGAAAATGGATCCTTAATTTAAATAGCACACGTTAAACAAAGAAAAAACAAGATTTTTTTAAAAATTATAAATTCTTTTATTTTCTAGTCAGCACCTTATTTAACATATTAATACTAGCAATCAATATGATGAATAAGTATGTTGAGTTTATTTATTTTTGTATTGCCTTAACTAACTAAAAACAAGTCTTGGAATCAAAATAGAAAGATCCTCTCATCTGGAAAAATGTAGCTGAAATTTGTGCTAATCTTATAATTCCTCAGTAAAACCACATGCTGTGAAACAATAGTTACCTGGGGCACCTTGCAAACCAATTAAAATATGCAGAATTCAAATATTTAAAAACTAATATAATTACGGAGAGTGAACTGTCACATCACTTTATGCTGAAATCTGATAGCCTTTTTAACATCCTTAATAGCACTATAGATAACAATTATATTAGAGACCCATAGAGATAAGATTTTTTTTTTAAACTATGTAAGAGTGAAGTCTTACAGTTGTCTTTCAAATACTTGGTGTACTTAACAGCACAGGGTTTTCATCTATGCAGTTATTATTCCACTAATTTAATAATGGCCAGTCTTCGCGAGCAAAGATTTGGGAAAGGTCATTGACCCTTCGAGCCTGCGCAGTGGATTTTTTAGGTGAGACACGGCGTGCGCTGAACTGAGCCCAACCTTTAATCCTGAGGTTCATCTGCCGGGGCCAAGCAAGCTTGGACAGTGGCAGTGAGGTCCCCAGGACGTAGGTTTGTTTAGAGTGACCTTCTCTTAGATGGATTGCCTTACAAGGCTGACGAGCTCCATCTGCCTGGGGGGCTGGGAATCGAACCCGGGTCGCAGCGGTGAGAGTCCTGCACCCTAACCACTAGACCACCAGAGGCCCCTCCACTAATTTAGATATCAGCCATGGTTTTCAGTAGTTACTGCCAGAAGAAACACTAATTCAATTAAAAACTCATGATCAGAACTACAGTCACTTGTTATAAGAGACTACTCATGAGGAAACACCAAATCTCAGCATCTGGAAAATACAACCAACAGCAACACGTCCATGAACTAAAAATTTTACCCCAGTGGCGAAGCACTGCCTGCTACATCTCTAGGCTTGCTCATTGTCCAGGAACAACTCAGGAGACAAAGCACAAAGCCGTAAAGGTAAGGTAGTCTAAACGTACACAGTTCCTCTCAGGAAATAGGAGGTGTTATGTCAAACAGGATACAAAAAAGTGTGGGTGCTAAGGTGAGACCTAAAGAGGCAGAGATGTATCATTTTAGTAAGAACAGAAGTGTCAACATTCTGCAGAAGCTGTAAGCGAGTGCAGTTTACCGAAGGTGCTCAAACTGAAAACACTGCAGTAGCAAACTGACTTTCGGACTAAATGGTTTGAATTAATTTCCCTTGATTACCTGAAGAAGTTTAATGCACTACATGTATGTGTGTGTGTGTGTATGTGAGCTCTCTTCTGCAGGCAAGGCTTCCCTCTGCCTCTCTGCAGAAGCAGTGAAATCTGACAGTAGTTCTTAATTTTATGAATGGCACTGCACAAATAGTAATGCTTTCCCTATCTACAGTCCCAGTTGTGCAAAACCTGTTCCCAAAATGCCAGTTTCCCCTGCAATATAAGTGTAGGCAATCATCTTCTTCTCATAGCTCCAAGGTGTGTTCTCCTCTCACTTAAAAAATTGGGATATCAACAATTGTTTCCATATGAATATTTCTTTCATTACTGTGTCTAATTGTTTTCTTCAACTCATTTACATTTCTGTTATCAATATCATGTGGCAAGGAGTTCCAGAATTTACTTCTGCATTGAAATTTACTTTGCGTTGTGGGGTTTTTTTGCTGCCCCACCTCATAATTTCATGCTGTTGCTGTAATCCCTCTCTATTAATTTTCTCCCTGCATTCAGGTTTTTACTCTTTTTTCTTGAACTGTCTCTTCCTCGGGTTGAAGAATTTCTGATCTATTTAAGCTTTCTTCTTACAGGAACCGAATTGTAACCCAGGATGGTTACATGACTGGAAATTCCTGCTCCTTTGCAAGATACAACCCAAAGCTACTGAAGGCAATCCATATTCCACACATACATCAGACAGCAGTATTTGGTCACAACTACTCAGTAAGCCCATAAAATAGCACAGAAGTTCTTACAAAAAACTATCCATAAACACCACCACCACCACCCAATAACAAAAACACAGAACAAACAAACAACAAAAAAACAATTATCAACTCTGGAGCTGCCCAGCAAAATTATTGTAACCTCTGAGATAGAACAGAAGAAAGAGAAGCTCTTACAGCAAGTAAGAAAACAGGCTGTTAAATCCGTTTACAAAAAAAAAGAAAATAATACACGTATTCATAATACACATTATTGTTTGGTTGGTTTTTTTTAAGGAAACAAAGCCTCAACAGCATCTAGAACATTCAGAGTAAAGAAGGAGAAACATTTGTTTAAAGTACAGAATAATGTGGGAGTAAATACGAAACCAACAGCTGTCATGGTCTCTGAAAATGCTGTGAGAGATGTAGTGGCATAAACCAGTGTGACAAAACTATGCTTTTCCAGACAGAAAGTCAAACTGTTACATGATTACAAATGACTCTAGTGAAGAGGAGTACTCATTTGTTGGAGTAATCTGTGCTGGACATGGCACTACACCATTGGAGTACATTTATTACAAGTCACCCACGCTAGTAAATACAGATCATAAACCTTTTACTGCAGTCTTTAAAGACAGCTTGGAGTGGCACTGTCTACTGCTTGCACAAACCCAAGCCAAAGCTCTAGATACATATTTTTTGCTTTGGCATATACCGCATGGATATATTTATCTGCAAAATGCTTAATTGCTG